TCCAGGTGGAAAAAGGGTCCCAGCGTTCTCGCACACCTCGCTCTTCTAGCGGGTCAAACTTCACGAGTTGTTTTCCGCAATTTCGGTCATAAAAACCAAACAAGTCGGCCTCCTGTCAGCGGCACCATCTGCGGTCAGCTACAATTTGGGAGAGGTGCAGCGGAGCGTCAGTGGAGGGGGCGGGGACGTCTGGGGCCAAGGTATTGCATTGCACTCATTGCACTGATTTTCTGCAGTATTTTTGCAGTATTCTTTGATGCAACTTTTCTACTTCTGTCATTTGCTGTTGTTTCTAAAAAAAAAAATGCATAACGATATTACAGCTTTCATTGATTTATTTCAAACTTGAAACTTTGTTTAGCCTGTAAGGTGTAAAAAAAAATAATAAAAAAAATGAATCGATTAATCGAATCGAATCGTGGTGTATTCTTGAGTATCGAAAATAATCGAATCGTTGGATCAGGAAATCGATACTGAATCGAATCGCCATTATGGATGTGATTTACACCCCTACTTCTAAGTGTGGCATGCTGACCTTGCAAGAGAGGATCTGGTCCAAGTCGCACACTTTTATGGACAACAAGCTGATTTATTCCCCACCTATAAAAACAGATGTAACCCATCTAACAGCCCTGACCCAAATCTAACAGTTGATGCACAGATGGCCTATTAAAAGTTTTCTCATTCACATTTTTTACAACAGAATTTTAATATTCTGGACACAAAGTATCTACATTTATAGGTAAAGCTGCAGTCAGCTTTGGATTTGGCAGATTGGTAAAGGAATATTTAAAGGAACATTTTCCTTTTTTTTCTTTAATCTGGATTAGTTTACAACAGCTCTGTTATAAAATCTATTAAAACAGATTGGTGATATTAGGATAAGATTATCCTTCCTCAGAAAAGTTCCTTTAAAGGTCCCATATTATGAAAAATATGGTGATCTGCTGATCTGTTTTTAGTATTATTATTATTATTTCTTTTGTGTCTTGAGGAAACATGCTGGGAATTGGTGAAGTAAAATTTATTTTGCTTGCAAAAAGTGAATAACTGGCTTTATTTTGGTCTAAAGGTGAGGAAAACAGGGAATTAGCCCTTTTCTGATCATCAATTAAATGTGTTTATCAGTGTCTTTTTCTGTCAGGGACATGAACACTAAAAATATGAGTTTTAATACGGAGAGGAATGAGAAAACATCCTTTAACCCAGAAATGCACATATTTAGCAATACAGTTAAAATAGACTACACACTTTATTGTCCTCAAACCTATACAGAGAAATTGAAGACTTCCGGATCCCTGAAATGGTTTGTAATCATTTCATTGTCCTCTTCATAAAATCCAGTGATAGAGGTGCAGAATGAAGTAGGACAACTGTTTTTAATATTCTTTTTTGTTTCTGCATTTTTTATTTTATTTATTTTTTCCTACTTGCTTTGATTCTGTTTTATCTTCCCGTATTTTAATCATGTAAAGCACTTTGCATTGTCTTATAAATTTGCCTTGCCTTGCCTAGGACAAAGATACACCAGATTTGTTTACAAATAATTACAATTCTTATATTCTTAAAGTAAAGCTAGAATAAATGTTCCTATTTTCAAAAGAAATCAAGTTTACTTCCCATTAGTTACGCTTTACAGGTACAAATGTATGCTTTAGCCATTTGGTTATGACCACAGTGGCTTTGCATTACCAGCTCCATTACATTAAACACATTCTTCTTGCTCCTGAGTCTCACTTTCAGTCAACTAGTAGAAAAAGACAACCTCCGTCCATTCAAACCTGCACACAAACACGCGCCTCTATGGTTACCAACTGCTCTCAGGGTGTCCGGTTCCCGTGGAGCTTCCTAGAAGAACTGATCTAAAGTTTACCCTGCTGTGGAGCCTCTGCACTGATGGTGTGAGCTAAAAACACACAGTTAGGGCCCTACAATGTATAGGAGCTTGTTATCTCCCAGAGGGGTCATGTACACGAGCTTTGAGCGTGCAACACTTAAGAGAGCCACTAAACAGCCTGGTTGCCTTGACGCTGACACGCAGTGGACCAATAAATGAACCTCAGAGCTCCTTCAGTAAGTGATGTGACCGAGCCACCTCTGTGCACCAACTCACAAACCAGAGCGCCATCCTTTTTTAGAATGACTTTTTATAGGCTGTTCAAGCTCTGGCTGCTAAACACTGTACTCATAGCATCACGTAGCTTACCCTTATTAAGACCTTTAAATTCAGTGATTTCAGTCATAAAAATGAAACTATCACAACAAGACATTTCTGCTACATTCATGAGTTTTTAGAAAGCGGAGCTGAGATCTGGTGATGAAGTAACAACAGAGGGGAGGGAGCTCTGGTTCTAGGCCAGAACATTAGTGGGATTTGCTCCTTTCTTACCATTAGTAGTAAAAACAGTTTACATGCATAAAATCTCAATCATTTAGAATCAAACACCACAGGAAGACTTTCACACATAGATGTTCAATGCTACGTGTTCATAGGTTGTTCATTGAAAACCAAACCTTTGAGTAAGAGTAGTTTCACTCCCCCATTTCAGCCCAGCTTGACTGTTCCCAGATTAAAGCTTTGATTCCAAACACACATTTATAGCTGCCTGGTAGGATGCAGGGTGAGACGTAGCACCTCTTTTCTAGGGGTGATTCAATACAACTTATTCCATTTCTGATACAATACCGATATTGCAGCTTTTGAGAAGCGACGGATACTGATACTGATGCTATAGAGCAGCGGTCCCCAACCTTTTTTGCACCAGGGACCGCTATATTTCACACAATATTTTCACGGACCGGCCGGGGGGGGGCCGGTGGGGGAAATACGATCAAGTAAAAATGATACGACTGGCATAAAATCACATACAAACAGCATAAAAATAAAACAACAAGTCGGTCCCATCTAGGCGTAATCGGAGAAAATGACAGACAAAGTGTGCTCCTGATGTCCAGTCTGCTCCGTAGCTTTGTTTTGGTCGCTTTAACCGCAGAAAATGCCGCTTCACAAAGATAGGATGAGTGTTGAACTGAATTAACCTGTGTCAAGAGGCCCAGATGCACCAACTGACGTAATTGGGAGAGAATACCGCAATTTTTATATTTATCAAAATAAAACATCACTCAGACTCTGATCGTCGATAAATTATATATATATATATATATTTTTTTTTTTTCTGTGCGGCCCGGTACCAAATGACCAACGGACCGGTACTGGTCCGCGGCCCTGTGGTTGGGGACCGCTGCTATAGAATACCAGAATGAATAATATATATTATTATTACTTATTTTGTGGTGTGGAATGTTAAAAAAGGTTTGATTAATTGATATTAATAACCAACTGGATACATAAACTTTAAATATAATTGTAGATTTTCAATCAATAAGCTTATATGGGAGATTCTATTCTGAAATCTATTTTTTAGCTGATATTATACTACCTTTCAATATCACCTCAGGACATCCCAACTTTAAGTAAACTTAGCCCAGTTATCCAGCTTTTCCAAGGGAGCCATAGTTCCCCTCACTATCCTCCACGTCAGTAGAGGTTGTATGGCAATCAACAAGTGCCAAATGTTTGCTATTTTCCTACTCAGCTGGAAAAACAAACTAGAAAAAGTCACAGTTTAATAAGTCAGGACACTGCTGAAGCCTCAGAAAATGCCACCAGAACGCAAGTGCCACTTTAAATGTCACGTTCTGAAAGGTGAATGATAAAAACTTTTACGTTTATTCAGGCAGTGAACTTTCGTGGCATGAAGTTGCACAATTAATGTCTGTTTATGAGCAGCAGAAAAAAAGTCAATGAGCAGGAACAGTCCAACAACTAACATACTTTACAACCAATTCTTAACAGTTGTTTACTGGCATCTATTTTTACACACCTACTCTGCAGCACAGTATTAGATAACCTTGTAAAAACGACAACATTTGGAAATATTTCACTGACAATAATCTGGTACATCCTTGTTCCTCTCTGTTAATCTGTGCTTCATACACTCTTGGATCTTTAACCTTGTCAGTACTGAAACCAGTGTGAGAATCTGCTTTAGACTCTGTCCAACTCACTTAATAATATTGTATAAAAACACGACCTCATAGAACTTTAACTATATCAGCTAACAATTACTGCACATTAATATTGCACAGACCGACATCTCAGAGACAATATATTTACATATTGTGCAGTATTACTCTACAGTCTTAGAACCCACCAATCTTTCCTTTTTGCAGATCATAAATTCTACGAATTGATGCCTTAATTCCGATCCATTACCTTGACACTTAATCCTGACGTCTTCTAAAAATATTGGTGAGGTGGTTCACAAAAAAAAAAAAAAATGGCCATCTGATATTTACTGCACAGGTGCAAGAGATGAAAAGCCACTTTTAATTAGCACATGTTTCTTTTTAACATAAAATACAGCATTTTTTGTGGGTTTTCTGCCAGCACTAATAATTATGACCCAACAGAGAGAAAATACATATATTTAGTAATAAGTGAATCCTATTCTACTAAACACTAATATGAATTACATCCGTCTCTTTTCATTTGGCTAATCTCAGCTGAATTAGTGGGCTTATTCTACTCTCCCATGGGTCTTTACTTACTGCTATATTTGCCTTGGATGGTTTCTGTGCGTTTGGATACGCAGAAAAAACAAAGAAAGAAATATTTTTCCTCAGAAGTGATCAGTCAAAAATACAACAGCTCTTAATAATGTAAAACCAAACTAGAAAAGTCAAAGTTCATCAAGCAACCTTTCCAAAATGCATGAAATAAAGTAAATAAAATCCCTTTTGATAGTTTCAGTCTTTTTAAAACGGTAAACGATATTGTATAGGCTAATGTTATCAGCTGATTATAATGCAAAACTGATTAAAATAAACAAAACAATGTTATAGTTTGGTGTAAAATCGGATACGATGTGTTTTTAAACAAAATTTAGAGTATATCTGACTTTTTTGTGAGGCTGTAAAAGCAGGAAAACGTCCCTTACCTTCACCGCTTCGGCGTGGGTGACTTTATCAAAGACTTTATCGTTAACTTTCATAATCTGATCGCCGATCCGGAGCCCCTGTTTCTCCGCCAGGCTCCCGGGCTCCACCAGGGACACGTAGATCCCCACTCCATGCTCCGATCCGCCGCGGATGCTGAAGCCCAGGCCCTCGTTGCTCTTGTGCCGCTTCATGGTGACCTGGCGCAGCTCCCCGGGCGGCTCATGGATGAAGTTCCTGCCGAGCAGAGGCACCAGCGGAGCTGTCCCCTCGCTGCTGGTGCTGAAGCTGTCCGGGGAGCCCCGCAGCGCGACCTGCAACTCCGGGGGTTTGTTCGGCGACAGGTTCCCAGAGGGCGTCGGACTGGCGCTGGGGAAGTCTCCCGATGGGGGGTCGGCGTGGCCGTTGTTTGCAACTAAATCCGACTTTAAGTAAAGCCCCTCCGAGGTGTACTGCTCGAACAGGAGCTGGTCCGAGCGGGGGATGACCAGCCGCAGCATGGGGAGCAGCTGCCGTTTGCTGGGCGCGTTGAGGATCACGTTGAGGGTTTGCACCAAGTCGTAAACGTTGCGCTTGGTGTGGTAAACGTTGAGGCAGTGGATGAACTGCTCCCTCTCGAAGTCGCTGAGCAGGAGGTTGAGCGCGTTGTGCAGCTTCCGCACGTTGGCCGACAGCGTGCGGGCGCTGGAAGCCACCGAGTTGGCCGAGGAGCTGAGCGACATGCGCTCCAGGTCGGTGCTGCTCATCCTGGCGGCTGGACCGGGACACGGCGCCACAGCGGGTTCTGGACAGGGGGGGTTAGAGGGCAGGCATTCCGGGATGGAGCCGATGGATAGGACCGGTTCGAGGCATCAGGAGCGCCGGAGTGGATCAACGATCCGCATAATGTCCAGTCCGGCCAGGGATAGAACGATAAAAGTTGTTCCAAACTATTTCACTATCTGAAAATATTCCAAAGCCAACATATCCTAGAAGTTTAAGTTTAAAAAGGGGAATGGTGCGCAAACGGCGGTGGGAAGAGCTGGGGAGCTTAATGCGCCACGTAAGGCTCTCAGTGTCATTAGCTGCTGTTTTTTTTTTCCAGGAGGTCAGGTGGACACCGAGCCGCCCCTTCTCTGGTGTCTCTCTCCGACAAAAGCTCCAGAAAAAAAAAAAAAAAGACAAACAAACCCTTCAACCGTAGCTAAATTACATCTATTCCTACAAATTGAACAACAAAAAATATCAATTTCTTTACTCCAGAAAGAAAAAAAAAACTTATTCCCCTCTCAGGCAGTTATCCCTATAAGATCCAGCTCTAATACCCCACAGCTGCTGAGGATATAAATTCCACGCGTGTAAAGTGCACCGCGTCAGTTTGTTGCTCTCCGCGTGGAGAGACGCGGCCCCACGTAGCAGCTCCACGGACTTTACTACAGCGACTGAAGAAGCGGTTATTGCCGTCATTTGTGCGGAAATGACGCAACCGGACCCAGCCAATAGAGCTCTAGTAAATGATGGAGCGTGTCTGCAGCTCCGACAGCAAACAACTCACAGCTGACTTCAAAATAAAACATTAGAAGGTTTCTAAGCCAGGATTTTAACACCTACTTCACTATTTTTATAGCTTACAAATAAATATAGTTTAAACTTCTCTACATTTTCGAACAAAAGGGGTGAACTTCTACATTATTGTAATTTTAAACTACAACATAGAAGAGCTTAAATTAAATTAAGTTTAAGTCTCATTCTAAGTTGAATGTTTGAATAAAAGAAAAAAACTATGAACCAAAAACGTTGAATATGGAGAAAACCCCAGAATAAATGCAATGAGTCTAACAGATGAAAGAACATAACATTAGTTAAAATGCAACTAATTTAAAGCCTGATCAACAAAAATCATCACATCAGTTGTTTAATTGAAAGGGCTTCCTAGATGGATAGAAAATGAATTAAAGTTTGGGAAACAAAGCACATTTAACTGTTTTGAAAAATCATCACATTTTTAACTTTTTAGAAATGTTTTTCCTCCAGTCAGCTCTAGTGCAAAGTTTAGGTTATTTTTTGAATAGAATAAATAAAGCCCAACAGGAATTATTTAAAAAATAGAATATCTGAAAAAGTTTTGATATATCAATATATGTTATATATTATACCATTATTCAACTTCTTTTAGATGTACCTTCAAAAACTCATTCCTTTGTTTTGATCATACATAACCAAACAGTTTGGCCCATAATGGTTGTTTCCAAGACATTTTAGTAAACATGTAAAACGTTCATACTGAAACACAGTGGCAGTGTTTGATTTCAACAGCTGCGTCCTCCAAGGACCCAGCCTACCTGGATTGGGTCTTTCCCAGACTGTGAAATTAAGGAGGCCGGAAGAGTTTTCCCTATGGATTCAAACTGGTCTAGCCTTCTCCGGCTTTCACCCGAGATTTGTAAATATACCGACAACATGTCAGGGCTCCTGTCTGTGTGTTTGTTTTTGTGTTTGTCCCCCTTCTACCAACAGGAGGCGCCTGGTTCCGGTTCGCCTCCTCACACACCTGCTGACGGTTACCTCATTTACGGAGTGCTCTTAAGCTAATGATTGCCACTACCTCGACGCCAGAGTGTTTGCCAGTTTTTGGTACTCTAGCCAAGCTGAGTTTTCACTGAGTAAGACTGAGTTCTTACTTTGATTTTTGTCTTTGCCTCTCCGCAGGAAGTCATCCTGCAAACTGGACCTTTTCGGACCTCCTCTCCCATGAGGGATCAACTGAGTCTAAACTGAGCCAGTGAATCAAACATGAGGTTTGGATCCAGTCTCCTTTGAGGACGTTAAAATTACTCTCTGAGCAAGGGAATCATCTTCACTACGACCCGTTCAGGAAATCTGAGTGGCACTCAGCGTCTCGGTTCCCCTACACCGTCCGAGTTCTGGGTAAACCCTGTTCCGCCCTCCACCGAGTCAGACAAACTCTGGAAAACCAACACAGATTGGAGTCAAAAATCCTTCACTTCTCTGGAAACGTGAGTGAACAACCAGATCCTCTGCTTCAAATCAACGAATGAAATTTCCCACTGAGCCTGAACTAATAGTCTGTCTCCCCCTCATCTTCCAGTTCCGGCCGAGCAGAGTTAAGAGGAACTCTGCACCGAGCTTAACATCTTCAATAAAATCCGTCAAACTTTTCATCCGTGTCTCTCTGTTTGGACTTCTGCATTTTGGGTCAGACCTTTAATTAAATCATGACACAACAAAATCATACAAATCATCAATGGAAATTAAGTTTATTACTAGTGGAGGCCCGGATTTGGAGTCACACACAAAAAAGTGGAAATAAATCTCAGGCTGATCCAACTTTGATGTAATGTAATATGACCTACCTACAATGCCTGGTCATGCTCCTGATGAGGTGGCAGATGGTATCCTGAGGAAACTCCTCCCAGACCTGGGGTGTGTTTGATTTCAGCCGCTGCATCCTCCAAGGACTCGGTCTACCTGGACCAGGTCCTTAGAGATGCATGAAAATAAGGAGGCTGGAAGAATTCTGGTTATGGATTCAAGCAGGTCCAGCCTTCTCAAGCTTCCACCTCTGTACGCTCCGTTGCCTAGCAACCGTGACAGTTGACACACAAAGCAGGCAAAGAATAGATGTTGAACTTCTTAGTACTGTTCTGGATTCTAATTATATTGTCGAGGAGCTCCATAAGCAGTACCATTGTTGCTAATATCAGATTTATAGTCCCCACACTGCTCAGACGTCTGAATGTCAGCCAAATCCATTAAGGAGGATGTTCCTGGGCCTCTCCTTCAAATCTGCTGAAAGCAAGGCTGCATTTTTCGGCCGTGTACGAAGGAGTCTTCCAAACCGCACAGGCCACGGCGCTAATGTGCATCAGTTTTCTGCAAAGAAACTGAAAACTGAGCTCAGGTGCTCCAGAAATGTCCTTGATTCCGTTGTCCATTCTTTGCTACAACTTGATTGGAGGCAACCTGTGGTAAATTCAGTTGTTTGAACCTGATGGGAAATGGAACTCATCCATAAAATGTCTCACAGCTGACAGTGATGTTACAGCCCAAGGCGTTTCCTTTGGGCTGCTGTGTGTTTCAGAGCACCGGGTAAATTGGTGTTGATTAGAAGTGGAGGCAGCTGGACAGTGTCTCCACTGGAGATGATAGGATTGCCCTCTTACCCAGAGTTCCTCTCTCTTCATCTGTCCTTTCCTCTAACAGCCATGTTTTTTTCCCCCCTTCTTTGCTTGGGGATAATAAACCTATTCCTTATATTCCCTATATTTATGTTCTTTAAGTCAGACTATGGTATATCTTTTTGAATATGAAAATAGAATTGTTTATTAGGAACTGAGTGGAGAGGTTTTAATCTTTGTTCATAATTAAGCAGAATTAAGATCCATCTTTGAAGAAAGGTTTATGGGATATGGATCAGCTGCTCATGGATAACACTAAAAGACTGCAGTAAAGCATATTTTCCCACCTCAATATGATTTCTCTTTATATATTTGGACATTACTGTATAACTAACAAGAAATAGGGTACAGCAGTAGTGGTGGTTGGGTTAAGCAAAAAAACTCATTCCTTAACACGGCTGTCATGGCTTTGAGCCCAGGCTCGCTGACCTTTGCTGCATGTCTTCCCCTTAACTCTCTATGCCCCATTTCCTGTCTGCTCACTTTCAAAAACTTGAAGGCAACAAGAGCCTTAACACTAAGAAGAAATAAACTCAGACTAAAATGCTTGAGGAAAATAAGACAGGATGGAAAGCATTCTTATTAAAACCAATCAGCTTAATAAGTGGATTTCTTGGAAAGAACAAAAAGAGAAAAAAGAATAATAAAAAACAGATTTTGGTGAAAAGATGAAGCCTCTAACAGGATTATGGTGCCATCTTTAATGAAGTTTTTTGGGTTTTTTTTGTTTTTTACAGCACTAGTGGCTTATTTTGTTGACAGTAGGCCGACAGGAAAGGGGGTATGAGAGAGGGGGAGAGACATGCGGCAAAGGGCAACATCAAGGACTAAAGGGCTGATTATACAGTGTGTCAACAAGTAGTCCTGATTTGACTAATCACATGCCTCCTGTCTGCAGTGCTGTCTGCGCAGTCACCTACAATTTTGGAGAGGAGTAGCAGAGTGTCTGCGGAGGCGCGGAGACACATTTACGGTCACTGCAACACACACGCAGACGACCTGGTTTCTGAGTATAAATCAGCTTTAAAGGAATAGTACACCCAAAACATGATTAGCCTTCATTTTCTACTCACCCCCATGCTGAACAACACTCTGGAGTACTTTTTTGATATCTCAAATGCATCTGGAGATCTGGGAGGCTTCTTGCTGTCTGCTGACATTCAAATAATGGAGGTGCCCAGCGCCCGAGACAGAAAGGTCCATAAAAGTCCACAAAAAAACATTTCAATATTCCTCCATACTGCTCGTCCAATGTATTCCAAGTGTCCTGAGTGGGTAGCATCCAGAATTTACTCGAAACGAAGTCATTTAGAATGTTTTTAGAGCATAAACAGTAGTGTATAGGATTTCCTAAAAGCGCGTTCACGACGCTACGGAAACCGCGGCAGACCAACCCAGACGAAAGTGCGCATTCAGCTCAGCAAAGAACTCATGATCTTCCTCAACACTGAAGTCCTCAGACATTTTTCTTTCGTTGTTTCTTTCTTTGCACAGGTAAACGGCACATTTCTTCTTCTACGCTTGCATTATTGGCAGAGCAGACGCTGAATGCGCACTTTCATCTGGTTTGGTCTGCCGGCTTCCGTAGCATCGTGAACGCGCAGATGCGCGCTTTCAGGAAATCCTATACACTACTGTTTATGCTCTAAAAACATTCTAAATGACTTCGTTTCGAGTAAATTCTGGACGCTACCCACTCAGGACACTTGGAATACATTGGACGAGCAGTATGGAGGAATATTGACACGTTTTTTGTGGACTTTTATGGACCTTTCTGTCTCGGGCACCATAGACCTCCATTATTTGAATGTCAGCAGACAGCAAGAAGCCTCCCAGATCTCCAGATGCATTTGAGATATCAAAAAAGTACTCCAGAGTGTTGTTCAGCATGGGGGTGAGTAGAAAATGAAGGCTAATCATGTTTTGGGTGTACTATTCCTTTAAGGCCTTCATACATGGGTCGTGTGCCCTAACCACTATGCCACCAAAGCACACCCAAGTTTTTGTTTTGTACCTGAATCATCATGGCTAACAGCAGCTTTTCTTGCAAAATGGCCAAACTCTAATTCTCCCATCAGCAGCCAATCACAAACCAGGAAATCCTCCTATGTTAGTGTGGTTTAAAAAGCTGTCAGTTCCTGCAGAGAGTAAAATAATAACCCTTTTCTCGTCAGTAAGTACGGGTTTCCTATAACCTACTACAAGCATAGGATAAAAAGAAAATTGCTACACACAAAAAACTCATCTTAAAATAAAT